CCGTAAGTTTACTTCATCACTTATCTCGTTGGAAGTGCGAGGTAGGATGGTGCTTATAGGCGATTTGTCAGCCCTTGAGCCCTCGGCTCGTACTAGGGTGGTTTGCAGGTACGGGGAACGCACCCACGGACATGTAACAACAACAACAAGTGCGGCACAAATGCATGACAAGCGGCTGCGGAAGACAGTGCGCTTAGGGAGCCCGCAGTGGCGGCAAGCCGAACGGAAGGCGTTGATTTAGGAGCATATAGAAGGTGACAGCGGAGGGCGGTCCACTTGTAGAAACACCGCTGCGGCGGTCCGATAGTGCGGCACCAATTGCATGATAAGAGGCTGTAGAAGGCAGCGCACTTAGGAAGCCCGCCAAGGCGGCACACCGAACTGACGGCTTTATGATTTAAGAATGTGTAGACGGCGACCACGGAAGGCGGCCCGCTTGTAGAAAAGCTGCTGCGGCAGTCCTCAGAATACGGCACTAAAATGCCTGACAAGCGACTGCGGAAAACAGCACGATTAAGAAGCCCACCGCGGCGGCACACCGAATGGGAGGCGTTGTGACCTAGGAGGATATAGACAGCGACCGCGGAAGGCGGTGCGCTTGTAGAAAACTGCTGTGGTGGCCCGCAAAGCGCGGCACAGAATGCATGACGAGCGGCGGTGAAAGGCAACGCGATTAGGAAGCCTGCCGTGGCGGCACGCCAAACCGAAGGTGTGGTATGGGAACTTGTAGACAGCGACCACAGAAGGCATCGCGCTTGTAGCAAACCGCTGGGGTGGTCCACTGAGTTCGGTTCACAAGAGGCTGCAGGAGGTAGCGTTCTTGAGTAACCCGCAGTGATGGCTTGCCGGATTACAGGCGTGGCGATTTAGGAGTATGTCAACAACGATCACAGAAGGCGGTGCACTTGTAGAAGGGAGACGGGGAGAGACACGTCTCAGACACGGGACCAGGAGTACCAGACACGAAGCGGGGTACAGAACGAGCCACAGCTATTAGAAGGCCGTTACTGTTCCCCATAAAACCCCATAAAGGGCCGACCCACTGATGGAGACCATAAGGGTAGTTGCCCGAGTAAGGTGTGGAAAAGCCAGAAATAAACAATCGTATCAAACGCCCTTGCCTGGGAATGTTGTTCAGCTAGGCGGCTGAAGAATGCATTAGCATCTTTCTGTATGAGGAGGGGCGAAGGCCAATACAAACGTCATTGGTTGGCCCATCAGGAAACCAGAGGCAAGGATGCCGTGAGGGGAAAAGGGCGCTACAAAACGTCAAGGCCTGCCCAGGCGCAGGCTACGGGAGTACCAGGGAGGGCCGCTAGACTGCCGGGGCCAGTGAAGGTTACCCTGTTAAAACGCAAGGCACGGCCATAGGAGCAGAGAAAAATTGGCCGAGAACTACCGGAGCAGTCGGCTTCCCCGAGCAGTAGGGAATCGGCGAGTGGCAGTGACGAAGTTATGCAACCCGGGCGGACGACCAGGGCCAGGAGGGCGGAATCGGAGGACATACGCCAGGCTAGAGCCGAAGGGTCATCCGCTGCCGGCAGACAAGCGGAAAGGGACATCCGGTCCGAATCCAGGGGCCCGGTCGGGCAACAAGTGGATTGGCGAGCCTTGGGGAAAGACGTTGGCTGCAAAACACGGAGACAAGGCCATGTCACTCAGAGGCACGTTCGAGCCCAACG